GGTTGTACATTTTTTGTTACACTTCGTTCTTGGCATAGCTCTATAAATATGCATTCATGCTTTCGTTAAAGAAAAATTTTCAAGAAATAGCTCAAGGTGATAAAATTGAAAATGATCAATTTTCGCTTTATTTTCATCTTTTTTTTCTTAGTATTACTTGGTGGTGTGCTTTTCAGCTTTTCATTCGTGGACCTTTCAAAGATTCCATCGCCAGTAAATTCTACTTTTACAGGTTTTCAAACATTCCATCCTGAAATTAAAAGTATATAAAATTTTTAAATTTTATTGACTGTATTTAACCTTAATAAACGAGTATTAATAATTTTTAAATGATCTTTTTTTTTTTTAGACCTCGATATAGAAACATGGGATTCGATGCTCATTTTCACTTCTATCTTACTATTAGTTCCTGGAGTGTTTATGCTAATGTGGTCATTAAAATACGAAACACTTAATATCTTTATATTTAATGATGAAAAAACTTCAACTTCAACAACTCTTTTTAATAAATTACTTGCTGGTTATTGTATCGTAACTGGTATAATTGCACCTCCTCTAATTTTCCTTGATCTTGGAAAAATTTTTACATCGATTGCCGTGATACATAATTATTTTGAAGCTATTATTATACTGCTTTTACATCAGGGAGGAAAAATTGCTCCCAATTATAATATTATTTTATATAGTATTATTTATTTATTAATAGCTGAAGGTGCAAGCATTTTACTTCAGTGGCCTTATGATGCCTTTTGGTTTAAATTTCAAGGTTAAAATAAATTTATATTATGTATTTATTATACGATATGAATTTTTTCCATTTATACATCGACTAATATTCGACTCATATTTACAGGCCTTAGTCTCGATGTAGCAGTTTTAATCCAATTTATAAGACTATTCCGTACGACAAAACAAAATTACAAAGAAGGTTATATTAGTTTACCCCATCATATTCCTGATGATGATGAAATGATATCGGAGGAACATGATCAGCCGAATAGTCATAATAATGATTGTCATCTTAGACATGTGCTTTTATTACCTCTCGCAGCGTTTTTCCATGTAGTAGGAAATGTATTAAATACTGTCTTCTTGACTAATGCACTTGCGTAAGTTATCTTTATTTGTATTTTTCATCTTAATTTTTCTTGGTAAACTTCTCATTCTATATGTCATTTTATCATTATAGAAACTATTTATTTTCCTTCAGCTACGGCTTTGCGTTTCCTACATACACTTATTTTGTGTATTTAGATACTCATTTGAGACCGAATAAACCA